CACACTTATTTACTCAATTTACATGCAAGTTTATTACTCTTAGTAATAAGTATCTTATTTAAATTTTGAGATATATCCTAAAAAGGCCCAAATCTCGCATTTTACACTAATCAGTTAATATATAAGTTAGGGATTTATTATAAACTATGGCAGATGATGATTCTAGTCCAGGGTTCTGCAACCTTTTAATTGCAAAGAGCCATTTTACCCAAAGCACAGAAAAAATTAAGCTCATTTAGTCGTAAAATATTACATTTAAATAAAACACAACTTATTGTTTCTGTTTAATATCTGCAATAGGAAATCTGTTTAATCCTTTAGCAACAAATGTATCATATTTGAGTTTTTAAGACCTTTATATCATCAGTTATTTTTATTCTTAAAAGAACTGATTTATACAATAGGACACATGCAGTAAACAGAAAACCCATAATGAGTTGAAGAGAAATGCCAAATGAATCACAAATGACACAAGTCAATTATCTAACTTCAAAATAAAAATATGCATTTTTTCTTTATCAAAATGTTCAATGAAAACATTAGTTCTGAGAAAATGTAACAAATATATACATATTTTTAATTATTCCATGGTTTAGGGCTTACAGGGTTAAAATAGGGGGCAAAAAAAAAAGTTTCACAAAGAGGAAGCATTGATTTTCCTCTTTAGGATACCATTTTATATAAAAAAATTAAACTTTCCAAACTAATCACAAAAACATATTTATGGTACTTTTGTCTTTCTAAAGCATCTATAGCTGATATTCATTAATATACTGTATTCTAAACCATTAATTGTTTTTTAAAATGTTTTTAGCCACTAATAGGAGCCATTGTCGAGGCTCTAAGGAGCCACTTGTGGCTTCAGAGCCGTAGGATGCAGAACGCTGCTCTAGACTAAACCAAAGCTATTTAATTAACTCCTGCTGGAAGATATAATACGGTGTAGTTATAATCCTTCATTACCTCACAGTGGAGAATGAGCAGAAGCTAGAAAATCACTTTGAACCGTCGGCTGTCAAAGCCAGGTATGAACTCATGCAGGGATGGTAGTCCTTCGCACAGATAGGCGACTGTATGCAACTTGTACTTCATCCTTAGACATTGGGCAATTATGGTTAAGAACGAACACCAATGTTTTAAAGAGCAATAATTTAAAAAAAAAATAAAAAATTAGAGTACACTGGTTTACTTTGTGCAGCCCCCCCTCCCCGACCTGTTGTGACAACTTTCTGGTTATCTGTATCTATTATTGTTTTCTATATCTATTATCTTTTCTCACCAGAAGACTTAATTTGGGAGTTTGATCCAACTATCACAGAAACTAAGGGTGGCTTGTTCAGCACAGCTTTAATTATAAACCAGCTGTAAGGGTTTGAAAGCTGCTGCTAAATTTAGACGTAGTTAACAATGGTTTTCTGCTTCATACCAGCACTTAGATCATGTTCCAAATCTTTTGTTTTTAAAACCTCTGGGAGTACTGGTGTATGGAGAAGCTGTTGTTATGTATTTTTACCCATTATAGCATAAGAATCTCCTACTGCCCAGTGGCTGACAGTAAGTCTATCAGCTATTTTTGACTTTTTTTTTTTACTCTAAGAATGTATTTACTGTTTAAAGTCAACATTCTGATTCTAAATATGTGCAGCAATTTTACTATATCGATCTGCAATGACCTAAGGTTTCATTCAGCTTTTATCAGGAAGATGTTTCAACAGAAATAAGTAATTTTATAAACCTAGATAAGCAACTCTCCCAATATGCTTCATAGAGCAGAGTTTTTCTATCTATTATTACTGCGACCTATTGCCACAATCAGCCAGTGCTGATGGATGCAAATGTGCTACAGATAATCGAGGGATGTCCTCCAGCTGCTTGGACGCTACTTCGGAGTCGTTGTTGAAAGCAAATGTCTGAACTTGGTAAACATTTTATATGACCATAACTCCTTGGAATAAATCAGTGAGACAGATAAGAGACTCTCCTGAATACATAATGTCACATGATCCCGTTCTTCTGCTAATGATGCTTCACAATCTGGAAACAATTCAAGCAAAAGATCAGATGATGTCAATTTTTACATGCTGCTTTGTTAGGCTTATTATTCCCCATCAATGATCATTGAAAGAAATAAAAATCACCTAGCAGGAAATAAATGAGTTATTGTGAGTTTTGTAAAAATCAACTAGTTCCTTTTTTATAATTACTTAATTAATTGTAGAAATCACAGAAGGTGCAACACTTTACTAAAAGGTGATTAAGAACAGCCTCTCCATCTAATCCAGCATTTAAGGCTAAAATTCAGAAAAAAACAAACAAACTTAATCTGGAAATTGTGAAATATTTTGTTTCATTATAGAGCTAATTTATGATGAATGTGGGTTAAAAATTAAGCTCCCCCTTAGACTTATGAGTCTAAAGTAAAAAATCTAGGAAGAAGTTATGGAGAACCTATCCTGTAGGTTAAAGGGGAGGGTAGTCTGTACAGTTTGAGGTCAGCGAACACTTTAAAAGCCAGCATGTGTGCCAGGATGAAAGCATTTCTACCATTACAGGAGATATGCAGGCTGCAGAGGAACAGAACATGATAATCACGGGCCTGAACTCAGCCCAAATCTGTCTTAGCATCGATACTTCAGCAAACATGGGAATGACGTCTGCAAAGGATTTTAAACATCCTTGTTTCTAAACCAGAACAAGTTCATCTCTATATATTACTACAAGAGATAGTTTTAAAAGAAATAACGCTCTTTCTTCCTTATCTGTTGCTGCACACTGCCTTCCAGCGGGTTGAAAGATGATCATAAGAGCTTTTACTTTAAAAGAATAGAAATTGACATATTTGGAATATGCCTAAAAATCACTAACAGTTAAAATGGGCTAACTGTAAATCAAAATATCAAATAAATTATTTGAAACAAAAATAAATGCAGATTTTTATTAAATAGTATAAACACAAGGAAAATTGTAAATATAATTGCTCCTGTTTTTAGAGGAAAAATATAATATCTGACATCTTGCTTGCATTTTTATGCAAATACTATGAATAAAAAGTGGTGTTTTAACACCTCACATCATAACGATGTCATACCGACATCAGGGAACCTGTTAGTTGTGAGTAGTATCTGACAAAAAACAAAAACACAGCAGAAGAAGAGCTTTGGAGTATTTTCTAACTTTTGTCTCTTAGGAGCGTATGTCTATAACTGACAGACAGCACAGATATTTGTTACATTTAGAGGGGAAGTTGGGCTAGAATGAAATCTGGAGTTTAACAAAGCAGAGCATCAACCTCTCTGTGATTTAAGAGCTGCATCGGCAGCTTTCCTGCATTTTTTACCCAGGACCCGATCCTGGAAATGAATGCAAGATAATAAATGGGTGTCCTGTCTTTAAATCACACACATTTCTAACTTTTAAAGAGATGACATAGAGTAGTTTTCCAAACATCTCTTTTTCTAAACCACCCAATTGTACCAGAATGAGCTCACGACCCAAACTATTACAACTTACAAAAGGCATAATAATAATAATAATAAACTACTGAATATATTCTTTATTTCTAAGTGATATTACCATTTCTTTATTGAAATAAATGAGTTCCATCTTTATCTAATTTAGTGCTTATTGTCATTTCTATAAAGTACCCATTGATGTTGAGCCACAATCCCAACTTTGAGATCAAAACATGAGCAACTTAAATTTCTTTGGGCTGACATGGATTTACGCTCCTGAAAGTGTTTCGATTTTAACCAATCGTCTGTTTTTCCACACTGGAGGTAATATTAAAGCTTTTCGTTCAACCTGCCAGACCACCTTACTGAATCTAGAGACTCGGCTAAGTGAGCTAAAGAGTAGGGTAATGGCAGAGAACTCACTGGAGAAAATCTCAATCAAGATAAGTAATTTTTCCTTAAAATAAGTGCATTTGTTTTTGGATTGAGGAGGTAAAAGAGACATTTTGCCAATGGAATGAGACAATTTACACTTAAAATAAGAAAACACAATTGCATTGTCATATTTCACGTGCATTTTATCTAATTATCTTATTTTAAGAATAAAAATACTCATTCCATTGGCAAACTATCTCATTTACCTACTCAAATTAAGTGTAAATACACTTAATTTAAGACATTTTTACTTATTTCTAGATCGCTTTACTTTTAGTTCACATCAAAATAAAACACAAAACAAGAAAGCAGAAGAAGAATTGGTTGGAATGCTAATTAGTACATTTCTTTTGATTATTAAGGAATACATAAATGATTTCAAAATTTTATTTATTCTTAAATATAGATAATAGGCTTTTGTTGAAAAGATTCACCTTTAACATTGTCTTATCCTTTGGGAGATGCTTGTTTTACTTCATATCAAAAACAGACTTGTTTATCAAATGGAAATTAATCTAAATCTGCCATGAGTAAAGGGTATGAACCCAACTGTATGTTAGAGAAGTGCAAACGTTTAATATGAGAATTTTAATATACAAGTTTTATAACTGTGCATGCATTAATATTCAGGAACCTTTGCTGTTATGAGAACAGAAAAAAAAAATAATGTACTTGAATTATTTCATTCAGGGGGTGTCAGTTTAATTAGTTTAAAAAAGTTACTTGTGACATATTCATTTCCAGTTTAAGCTTTTAAAGTCATTAAATCTTGTTTTTATTTTATTTTAAGTAAATTTTTTGCTTTAAAAAACAAATTCTTTCTTTCTTTATTTTTTTTTTCTTTTGCATTTCAAAATTAAATACAAACCATTTCCATTTGGCATTGCTAGTTTTTTGGAACAAAAAGGGAATTTAAATAGCTTGCAGCCTAAAATATGGAAATAGCCTTTTTGCATGCAGGCAGAATTGTTCTGTTTGTTTTCTACCTTAATCATCAGGCTTCACCTCCTCCTGACCTCCTAGCCCTCGGCTTGACTACCACACCTCTAAAGCGCTGTATGGACACCTACTTCCGCATGGACACACTCACACCTCACCCAAATACACACTCACCAGTCCTGACGCGAAGAACACGGCCAGCAGCGCGAGGCAGGTTCCCATGACGATCAGCAGCAGGAACACGATCAGCGGATGCTGCTGGCTCATCCTGTAGTACGACTCGTACAGCCAGTCCTGAGGCTTCTCCACCTCGAGACACATGTCGCTCTGGAACCCGGGGCAGCCATCTCCCAGGCTGTCGGGCCCCTCGGCCCCATCGCCCCCATCGCTCTTCTCCAGCAGGTAGCGTCCACGGGTCCACAGAGCCTCCTGCCACATGGGGAGAAGCTGCTGGGAAAGGACGATGCTGCTTTCTCCCTGACAAATACGACCCAAAATAAAAGCAGTGTGGACAGGAAAAGGAGGAGGACAAGCAGAGCCTCCACACCCTTGGACTGTCCACCACCCCCCTCCTCTTCCTTTTTACAAAAGTTTCCTCAGCTGCTACTTATCGATGGGCAGCTGAGTTAAAGAGAGAGAACTTTCTAGCTCCTGCAGTTTCCAATGCATCCTCTACTGCTCCTTCTGCTGGAGGTGACAAACTGAGTCAGGACAGTGTGAAAACAGATATTCCTCCTCCTCTTCCTCCTCCTCCTCCTCTCAGTAAAACAGGGTTGTTTGCACTTCGAGGAAGGAAGATAAGGCTTCAGCTTCTTCCTCTCCCCCCTTCAGCTTCTGCTTCTTGTGTGCTCTTTATGATTGGTCAGGGTGATGGAGAGCCGGCAGAGCCCTGCTCAGCGCTTTGCTCCGCAGCCGTGACAAAGCAGCGTGTAACTGTGCTGAGGTGCAGATGAGGACTGAGAGAGGGAGAGAGTGTGTGTATATCTGGGAGGGAGGATAGGAGAGTGAGAGGAAAGAGGCTGTTCCAATGTGTTGGAGAGAGAGCTACTGGGTAAAAGTGTGTGTGCTGGGGAGGACGATGTGTGTCTGCAGATGAAAACTCAAATTGTCTGGGTAAAGATGTGGGAGAAAACAAACATTTACCGCCAGGTGAAGGACAGCGTGTGTGTGCACGTGTACGGGTGTGTTTGCACAATCTTGTGCAAAAGGGAAGTGACCCAAGACACCAACCGAAGGGAGGAAAAGTCTGAAGTTGGCAGAAGTGAAGGCGGGAGGAAGAAGAAAAGTATGTCATCATGAGATGTGTGTATGTGTGTATGAAGCGGCATGAAAGTGAGTGAGAAGGGCTTTGGCAGCTGTGCTAAACCAAGAGAGGCAGCTAAGAGCAGAGGGACCAAGGAGGAAAACGAAACACCACACCGGCAGCAGGGGACAAGATAAAAAGAGAGGTAAAAGAAATGAACCACACAAGAGGAGGAGAGCAGGAGGGAAGAGGAAGAAGAAACAATGTCAGGAAGGAGGATACCTCAGGAGACAGAGTGTGGGAGGAAGAGAGATCAGAGCTTCAAACAGAGCGAGGGGTGGGGTGGTGGTAATGAGTGAAAGTTTGGTAACGTCTGGGGATAAAAATAAAGATCCGACGAGTCCAGATCCCAGTGTTCCCTTTCTTCTCCAATCCTTAATCACTGAACTCCACTTTTCCCCACCTTCAATGTGCCACACGATAAGGCTAAAACGAGGCGTGACAATTCCATCTCACTGTGCCAGATCCCCCAAATTTCCCCTATTTGTAGAGAATCCACAGAGTCTGCAAGCAACAAGCACACTGCAGGTAATGTCAAACACAGCACATTCGACTGAGAGGTATTTTTGGAAACTGTAGGCTTTACATTTTCAGATAAAAGCTGACTGTGTTCAGGTTATTATCCTGTGTTAGCATGAAGGTAAAGAACATGTTCAAAATAACAGATGATGTTGTAGTGACAAGAACTGTCAGCTAGAGTTAATATTCTAATGTAGCTGCTCTGCAAGCAAATGGGAGAAGTTATTGAAATTAAATGGACTGTGATAAAGTTTCCATGACGTGCTTTAATGTGATGTGGCACAAAGACAACGCAGTCCTGGTGATCAAAATACGTAGAGTTGGAGTTCAATCAAAGATAATTATTGAACATACCAACATTTTTCTCAAACAATTTATTTCTAGAGAGGGCCAACAGCGTCAAATGATGTCAATGGGAATCCTAAGCAATTCATCAAGCTCAAGGGAGAAAATGGAAGATGCTAGGATTGAACATGAGGATAAAAAGATGTGAAATAGAGAAGAAAAGCCAAGAAAAAAGGTTCAAATGTCTCTCTATTCAGAAATCAATCAAATTAAATTAATGGCCTATGAAAAGGTTTGTTATTCTTAAGATAACTGCAGAAGTATAATAATAATGGGTATAGGCCAAGATCTCTAGACCTTTGCAAACTTATTGTTGTGAAACATTCTCATGGCAATAGACACTTGAGTCTTCTGGTAAGCTTGGTAAGAACCAAAAAGGTGGAAAAGATATGTGATTGCTGACAAAATGTGATTTCTGTACAGAAAATGATCAAAACAGTTTTTAAACAACTCACTGTGAGATTAAGAAACGCCTGGGTAAGGCATTTAGCCACGGCCTGTGCATTGAACACTACACCATCAGTTTGTTTTGAGATGAGAAGAACATGGTGTGAGGCAGTTTTCAGTGTAAGGTACTGGTGGCTTGCACGCAACTGTAGGACATTGATTCATGTACATGTAGGCAGAGATATGTACATGTCTACATGGAGCAGTGAATTGAATCCTACCTGGGGCCTTTTCTGCATGGAGTTTGTAGGGTGTACTCGGCCCAAACAGTGCTGGAGATAGGGGCTAGCTCCCTGTCACTCTGCAAGGATAAGCAGGTTCTGAGTTTGGATGGTTTAAAAGGGTTTACGTATGTTTGGTGCACAAATACAGTTTATCAATCAATCTGTCTGTTATTGAATACTTTTGTTAGAAAATGGCTAAAATTGTAAAAACAAAACAATTTAGCTGCATTCCTCAAGTTTGCTCAAATGAATCTTGCCCCATCTGTATGCTTGAAAATACAGAGAGAATCTATGGTTGTCATTAATAGCAAATGATTTTCTGATTCAGGTATGCTCATAACTTCTGAAATCTGATGCTTTTAAAACTAAAGTTGCCTCAATTTGAACAAGAAGGCTAATTAACGAAAGGCAAGATGTAGAATACCTGCATGTGTGGTGCAAGACGGTGATTTCCTGAGTCTAAAGACATACGTTGTGAAATCTTCTATGAACCTAGGTCCTCAGGGTGAGTTGTGTCATACTGTTGTAACGTTTCTACATATTTCAGTGGGTTTTGTGTGATTAAGCCTCTGATATATTTTTAGTTTGCACTTTTTATCTTATACCTGAAAGTTTTGTATGTTCCCTGTTGATTGCATAAAAAAGACACAACTTTTTCATTTGTTTTTTTTCTCTATTGACAGTGCAGGATTACTAATAAAGCACCATGTTAATTGTGTCTGTAAGCAAACCCTTTTTCCATATCAATCTCATACCACGTGTCCATTTTAATACACCTAAAAAAATGTATCAACACATTTGCATCCCATATCATGTAGGTCCAAGAGCACCTGAGCAAGCAAACAAGCAGCTTGTTATGGTTCTCCCCTTTTGCGACTCTGAGTTTTTCGTTTTCAGTTATTAGTTATTCTGTTTTGTTGATCTTTGGTTTATTTTCAATTATATTCAAGCAGTCTTTAGTTACTCTGTGTTGCCCCCTTGTGTTTGTTTCCTTTCCCCTTGCCTTCTAGTTAGTTCTACTCACACCTGCTCCATATTCAGCTCATTAGTCCATCCTTTGTTCTATTCCCCTTATATACACCACCTCTGCAGTCACTCAGTGCTGGTTCCTTGTTGTTAGTTGCTTCTTCGTCTCTGGCTCCCCACGTGATTTTTCCTTGATGTTTTCTGTTTTTTTGTTTTTTTATTTTTGCATTTTTGGATGTCTGCCTCAGTTGCCCTATTATATCAACAAGAACTCCTCTCTGCTTCACTCATCTCTGCATTTGGGTCCTCAAGCAACTTCACCCCCATTGCTGACACAGCTATTAGGATCCCCTGCAGTTTGCTTATTGACATGGAGTTGGAGTTGAAGATACCATCATACATCTGCCTCAAGAAACCCACTGTCATTTAGACAAGGCAGAGCGCACCTTGAGGATCTTGTTCTTTGATTCCTCCAGTGCATCTAACTTAATTCAGCCTGACTTACTTTGTGAGTAACTTCAGAAGACTCAAGTGGAGGCATTAACAATCGCCTTGATCATAGACTACCGCACAAACAGACCACAGTTTGGGTCAACAGGGTCAACTGTTTAATCCAGGCATGTCCAAAGTTGGTCCCTGAGGGCTGCTGTCCTGCAGCTTTTGGCTTTATCAGCTGATTCTGATAATTGCCGTTCAGCAAAATCCTGTTAATCAGTTATCAATGAAAATTAGTTGTACTGGAGCAGGGAAACCACTAAAACAGGCATGCCCAAAGTTGGACCTTGCGGTCCGCTGTCCTGGAGTCTTTTTAGGTTTCCTGCTTACCTCTTTTTACTTTGTACACCTCTGACTTCCAGTACAAATATTTGTATGACTCTGTGGTCATTGGTTGTGTCAGATATAGACAAGAAGGGGAGTAAAGGGAACTGGTGAACCTCTTTGTTAAATGAGTTGGAAACAATCAATTGATTCTAAATGTGAGCAAAACAAGGGAGATGACTGTAGATTTGAGAGAAAACAGGAATTTGTTGAATCCTATTAACATAATGGAAGAAGAAGTGGAGGTAGTGAAGGAGTAGCTGGACAACAAACCAGACTCTAGATGCAACTCTGAAGCTATAAGAAAGGACAGAGAAGACTTTATAAAGAAGCTTAGGTCCTTCAGTGTTTGCAGCAAGATGCAACATATCTACTATAAATTTGTTTGGCAGAGTGGGATCTCCTCCATTATCTGTTGGGGAAACAGCATCAGAGTAACTGAATTAAAAACAATCAATGAGCCAATAAAGGAACACCTGTTTAACCTCTGGAGATGATTTCACATAGAAGAATTCTTCAGAGCTTTATGTACTCATGGTAAATGGCCTGTACTTATATAGCTATTTGCAAGTCAGAGGACTTGACCGCAATGCTTTACACTATCAATCATTCAACCATTCATGAACACACTCACACACTGATGGCGGCAAGCTATATTGTAGCCACAGCTGCCCTAGTGTTCACTGACAGAAGCGTGGCTGTCATACCCTGGCAGCAACAGTCCCTCCGACCACCATCAGTAGGCAATGCAGGTAAGGTGCTTTGCCCAAGGACAAAACAACACTGAAAGTCAGAGCCAGGCCTTGAACCGACAACCTCCGGTTGCCGAGAAAACTCTTGCATCCAACGCCACTGTCACCTGACCTGTAGGAGTTGCAACATTTGAATTCTAAGTTGAATTTGTTTGATTTCACTTGTGCTTGTGTGTGTGGGCATGATTGTGGGGATTTAAGACTTATTTAGAACCTTTTAACCAGAATGTGTTGGCTTCATAGATGTTTGCCAAGAGATCTTAGTAGTGAAAGAGATTAAATAATTTGGAGTCTTGCCTGTGGCCATTAGCTATGAGTATTTGGTTATTAATAAAGAAGCTGAATATTGCGAGTACCGAGAGAGGCTCACAATGATCTTCCAATGAAGACTTTCTGAGCTGAGGGAAAGGATGTGAAACCTTTTTATTTTAAAAGCCAAACATGTGTGTCAACAAGGTCCCCAAAGCCTCAATTCCTTACTCTAGTATTCTTTAGCAACAGCTGTTGCAATTGCTGATGGGTGGTAAAACTTCCCCATCTTCCATGAAACATTACATTTTAACTCAGTTATGCATTGAACCTCAACAGTTTTGC